TCCCCTCTCCCCTCTCCCCTCTCCCCTCTCACTCAGACACTCCCACTCCCTGCACCCCCAGTCCTTGCACACCCATTCCCTCAGACCTCTCAGCCCCACCTGTCAGTTCACCCCATTCATGTCAGATCACCCCATTCCTGTCTGACCCCTCTGTCAGGCCCTTCTCCTCTAATTCACACCCCCACCCTCCACCACTTTGCCCTGTCCCCACTCTGGTTAGATCTTATCATCTGACTTATTTCCTACTACTACTTCCTCTTACTTTGTTAACTCCCTGCTCCCTCATCACACCTCCCCACTCCTTCAGTGCCGTGTCCCCTCAATGGTTTTAACACCATTTCTCTTGAATTCCATTCATGTCTCTCTGAGCTGTATATCACATTTGCCCATCTCCTGACTTGTACCTGTTTCATGCCTGCCTTCCTATTGATGTGTGTCCTTTATCTTGCATTAATGTATTTGTTTTTCTCTTCCTTAGCTGTTAATATCAAGTATCAGCAAGTTCTCGATCGACAGGATGAACACTGAGAAGGACTTTGCTCCTCTCACCTCCAACATTGTGCGAGCTCTCAATGACAAGCTCTATGAGAAAAGAAAAGTGGCTGCCCTGGAGATTGAGAAGTAAGATTCAAGCTAACCTTGTCTGTTTTGGCCTTGAACGGATAGTATTTGGAAAATGCATTCAATATTTTGATGCAGCTGCCAAGGTTGAATTCAGTTGTCTTTTACTTCAGTTAGAGTCATAGCGATGTATAGCATGGAAACAGATCCTTCGGTCCAACTCATCCATGCCGACCAGATATCCAAAATAAAGGTAGTCCTATTTGTCAGCATTTGGCCCATATCCCTCTAAACCCTTCCTACTCATAGACCCACCCAGATGCCTTTTAAATGTTGTAATTGTACCACCCTCCTCCACTTCCTCTGGCAGCTCATTCCATACACACACCACCCTCTGAGTGAAAACGTTGCCCGTCAGATCCCTTTTAAATCTTTCCCGGCTCACCTTAAACCTCTGCCCTCTAGTTTTGGATGTCAGCTCTCCTGCTCCTCTGATGTTGCCTGGCCTGCTGTGTTCCTCCAGCTCCATATTGTTACCAAGGAAAAGACCATCTCTATTTACTCTATCCATGCCTCTCGCAATTTTATAAACCTCTAGAACGTCACCTGTCAGCGTCTGATGCCCCAGCTCTCCCTATAGCTCAAACCCTCCAACTCTGGCAACATCCTTGTAAATCTTTTCTGAACCCTTTCACGTTTCACAACCTCCCTCCTATAGCTAGGAGACCAGAATTGCATGCAGTATTCCAAAAGTGGCCTAACCAATATCCTGTACAGCTGCAACAATACAATCCAACTCAATGTGCTGGCCAATAAAGGCAAGCATACCAAACGCTGTCTTCACTATCCTATCTACCTGTGACTCCACTTTCAAGGAACTATGACCCTGCACTCCAAGGTGATTCAACATACAAACTATCCAGCTTCTGGCCTTTAATTCATTTTGTCAACTCAACAGTTATTGATTCACTAAATCACTATCTTTAATGTCCTTGTCCTCACCAGAACAGCTATCTTTTCTGTCCTCTTCAAGCCTCCTGATACGCCCCTCATCCCCACTCCTCAAGTCCTAGGAAAATAGAGTTAGTGAATAACTAGTTATTCATTAACACATCTAGCTGGACTGCGCTCCCTTATTACAGCCACCCCTATACAAAGATGTAATTCCTGAAGGCAAAGATGCCATCCAGCTTCTCTTCCACAGTGTAACTATTTTGGTAAACTACCAGTGCCTGCTCTTTTTACCGTGTGTATAAGAGTCTGAGTGAGGAGTCTGTGCACTTTTATTCCAGTAATTGAAATCAGCTATTCAGCTACAGCTTTCCCTCCCTTAGCCCACCAGCTGTAACTTCCTATAAGGTTTCTACTCGTGCTAGTTTTGAGCATTATCTTTTTTTAAAATTTCTCTTCTGTCTCCCCTCAGAGTCATAGTCATACAGCATGGAAACAGACACTTTGGTGCAACTCGTCCATGCCGACCACATATCCTAAATTAATCTAGTCCCATTTACCAACATTTGGCCCTCATCCCTCTAAACCCTTCCTATTCATGTACCTATCCAGATGCCATGCCCTCTTTAAGTTCATCGTCTTGTTCTCCAGACTCTATTTCAACTAAAATGCTGACCGCTTGTCTGTGTTTCTGGCTCCCATGTTTACAGATGTTAATGGTCTCTTCAGATACTGCACCCCATCCTTTAAATCTGCTGTCATCACCTCTCTCCAAAACCACTTGCGTTGCTTCCCCATATCCTTGCAAAACACAACTTGTAACTTAAACCTCCCTGTCTTCTTCCAAGTTCTTGAATATGTTTTGTCTCCCAGATTTGTGCCTGTCTTTATTAGGAATTCTTGTTTGTATCGCACTAAGCAAGTTTCCACCCTACCTCCAGTTAGGAAATGGCTCTTACCAAAGTCAAAAATTAAAACCTTTTTGACTGCAACAAACTATCCCTCAGTGTCATTTTGCAGCCTTGAACACAGTTGAACATGCAATACTTTTCCTATGTCTCTCCACTGCTGGATGGGACTGCTCTCAGCTAATTCCATTCTTGTTTTCCTAATTGTAGACAGAGATCAATGCAATGCACTGACTTCCTGATGCCACCCAGTTAACTCTGCTTTCAGCTGTTTAGGCTGTAGAATTTCCTACCTAATCTTCTTTGGCCCTAAACCTCCATTTCTTCCTCTGAGGCACTCCTTAAACTTTTATTTTTGACCAAGCTTAATATCACCTGACGCAGCTCAGTGGCTAATTTTGTTGCAAAGAGGTTCTTGTGATTTGCTGTGGGAAGCTGTGTGTTGAAAGTATTACGTAAATATAACCTGTTGCTCGGAGTAATATGTGGTTCTAGAAGAGATTTGGCTTTTGAGGGGGGTGGGTGCTAAGATGGTTTTCATTGCTGTCTTTTTACTGATTCTCAGGATGTGTGTGGCTCCCATCCTTAGTTGTCACCAAGAAGGTAGTGAGCTGCCACCTTGTGCAGCTGCATTGTGCATGGGGAAGTGACTCCCTTGACAATGAAGGAACTGCATTACATCTGCTATTGTGGCCAGTGTGTAAGTTAGTGTAATCTGAATGTGTTGACGTTCTCACGGGTTTTTATCTTTGTGCATTCTCTAGATATTACAAACTGCAATAGCTCAAAATGCAAGTAAAAAGGACTTTGAAGGGTCAATGGGGCCGGGATTGCTTGTTGAGATTCCTTGCAATTTATTTTGTCGGAGTCACTTTTTTATTTTATATCATTTTTCACTGATTTGGTAATTGAAAGGGAAGAAGACTCAGGAGGTTAGAGAACAAATCGCAAATAGGGCTGAAGTATTTGAGTTCATATTGCAATTGGGAGGCAGGATGTTGGGCTGGGGTCAGGTCTGTCTATAACCTTGGAGCTTGTCAGCGGTGAAATTAAACTGGAATCTTCTATCCTCTTAATTCCTGCAGTGGTAACTTTTCTGAAAATGTATTACCACTGGGCCTCCTGCAAATCTCCATGCCACCATTCCTGTGGTCAATGTATTTCAGCAAGGTGCCAATAAAATGACTGTGCCTGCTAAATTAGTTCTGATGCTGAGTTCACAGGTACCTATTTGTTGCTGGTAACAGCATTTCGTCTTTTAAATTAAGAAAGCACAACCGCGCAGACCAGGAAGCAGGAAAATATTCTCCTTTTAAAAATGTAAGCATTTGCCTCAGATTTGGTGGCCATCGGCACCAATATGATGCAGCGATGAAAGTACCCGCCCAACGTGGTTGGACCTGCCAGCCACAAATGGCAGGTCCCAATTCTGCAAGGGATCCTCTGTAAGGAAAAGAGCTACGTTTCAAAAGGAATCTGGAACTCTGGTCCTTCAAAAACCGGCTTGAGGCTGCACAGATCCATTGGATATTTCAACACTGAGATTTTTGTTAGGGAAAGATAAAGTGGAGTGCAGAGCCAAGTCCGGAAAATGGAATGAAGACATCATTCATAATCTGATTGAGTCTGTTCCTCCATTCGAAGGGCTGAATGGTTTCCCTCTGTGCATTGCCTTTGAATTGTCTACTCTGTTTTAAAAGGAGGATACTCATGACTTGCACTTACTCTTACTTAGACATCAGTCATCTCTTACTGAGACATTGCTACTCCGAAGGAGAGGGACAACCACTTGTTTATGGTTCATTACAGTCACATAATTTGGTGCCATGATTATAATATTAATCCCATTCTGTCATTGGAGCAAAATATCATGTCTGATTGAGAGGATTGTGATAGGTTAAGTCCCTCCTACCAGTGTAAGACCTGGGGGACATTTAGAAACTCTCTAAAATACTTGATTCTAGGTGAGTTCAGAGGTTTGAACTTCCCCCTTTAATTTTCTAACTTTTAAATGGCATCGTAACTTCCTCAATGACATCCAATAGTTCAGTTCTCATATAGCCCTTTAAGATTTGTCAGTCGGAGTAATTTGAATGAATTTTTCCATTTCTTTTGTTTAACTCCGGCCTGAATCTAAAGAGAAACGCTCTGAAAGCAGAGGGTATGTTAGACTCTGGGTTTTGTAACTTCTGGATGTCAATCCCCACAGTTCGGGTTTAATCATCACTGTATGTTGTCTCCCTTTGGGACAGTATGATGGCTTTCAATGCCTTTGCATTAGGGAGCAAGCCAGTATCCACCATTCTGATCCTGGCATCTGAAGAACTCTGTAGACTATATGGTTGAGTCAGTAACCTTGGGCTATGTTTGCTTAAAGCTGTTAAACTTGTCTGCTGAAGAGTGGAGTAGCTTAAATACATACTGAACCTTCTTTCTACAAATACAAATATTGCATGATAAATAATAGTGCTACACAACAACAGTTCTAATTCTTGGCTGCTTTACTGTCAGTGAGGCAATTCCTATAAGGTCCACCGTGTGCACTGAAGCCGAACCTGGTTCTGAGATTCTAATGAAACACTCACTCGGAGTCACAGAAGTACCCAAAATGGAAACAGACCCTTTGGTCTAACTTGTCCATGCAGCTGGATATCCTAAATAAAACTAGTCCCATTTGCCAGCATTTGGCCCATATCCCTCTAAACCCTTCCTATGCATGTACCCATCCAGATGCCTTTTAAATGTCATAATTGTACCAGTTCCTCTGGCAGCTCATTCCATACAAGCACCACCCTCTGTGTGAAGTCTTTCCCTCTTAGCTTAAACCTATGCCCTCTAGCTTTGGACTCCCCAACTCGGGGAAAAGACCTTGTCCATTCACCTTATCCATGCCCCTCTTGATTTTATAAACCTCTATAACGTCACCCCTCAGCCTCCAACGCTCCAGGGAAAATAGCCCCAGCCTATTCATCCTCTCCCTATCGCTCAAACCCTCCAACCCTGACAACATCCTTGTAAATCTTTTCTGAACCCTTTCATGTTTCACAACATCGTTCCTATATCAGGGAGACCGGAATTGCACGCAGTATTCCAATACTGGCCTAACCAATGTTCTGTACAACTGCAAAATGACCCCTCAACTCCTATACTTAATGCACTGACCAGTAAAGGCAAGTATACCAATGCCTCCTGCACTGTCCT